GGGGGGGGGGGCGAAATCAGAAAAAACAGGGGTTTCAATTTGAGGTTTTCACAGATTTCCCTGGCCCCTTAAAAATGTTTCCAGTGAAAGTATTTATTTAAAAAGGGAGAGAATGGCGGGAGGAGACCCTGATATAATAAATCAAAAATTGATTCTTTTCTTATTTTCTGACACAAAAGTCCCCTCCCCCCAAAATGTTGTCCATCTGGAATGAAGACTGGCATTGTTTCCATTTGAAACCCTGAAAACTTCTGAACAAAACAATGGTCTTCTTCAAAGCAGCATTTTCCACCCAGAAGGCGTTGATGGAAGTTGACCAGCCTGTCTAGCACTGATGGCGGAAGTGGGGTGAATATGCAGGGACTGAGCAGGGATCGAAAGCCACAGACTGCTCCTGCCTGGGCTAAGGGCCCTGGTATATTGAAGGCCGTAGCTAACATGGGTCTCTTACACGGACCGGCCACTAGAGGGAGATAAAGGCCCCCACTGAGTTAAAGTGTAAGAAGATCCAAGAGGCAGCTGTACCTGTAAGGCAGATTGTGCAGCTCTCTTCACCCTGTGGGGGGATGGGCACATGAGTTGTTCTGTTTGGTTTCAATGGGGTTTCCTGGGAACCCAGGTCTGGCTCTGGCGTCTCAGCAGGAGATGACTCGTTCCACGTCTCTTCTATCTCTGAAAGACTCATGGACTCCAAAACGGGCGACTTGTTCACCTGAACCACCTTTCTGCAGCCTCCGGTAACTACGGCCCTGTTCGCAGTGGGTCTGGCGGTGCCGGCAGAGCCCTTCGTAAGGACAGTTTCAAAGCAGCTCACTCGATTACAGCTCAGGCGCGGTTTGGCTACGTGGGGTGATCAGGAAAAACTCCTTTCAAATATAATTTGATGGTGAGTTTTGTCCGAATACCCCGACCAGCCAGGCTGGGTCTGGGCTGTGTTCGAATGAACTGTTTCAAAGCTTCCCTTGACACGGCTTTTATCCCCAGGGTCAACCAGGCCTTAGCAGGCGCTGCCCAAATCAACTCCAGGTCACTGAATCGTCCTTGTTCTGTTTCTTTTCCCTGGCGTCCCGTCCCGTGGGGTCTGGGTTCGAGGGTTTGCCTGTGGAGAGAATTGTCGGGTTACTCGGGCTGGCTTGTGTCGGTGTTTATCTGCCCAGACACAGCCCTGCACAGCAGGGTCGGTTAGAGCTG